TGTGTTAGGACAATAGGCTGGTACAACACAGTAATCATGCCTTTTTGACTGATTCTCTGATAGGTTGCTTTCCCAGATGTGAACCAGCTGCTCTGTTTTGGAACACCAATACATAACTGATTTGACTGATACTGTTTTGGATCATTCCAGTCATTCCTTGGACTCAGTTATGAGGATTTTATTTTAGTCTCTCAGTCGTGAGTCAGTCTGCGACTGTATCAAATCAGACTGTGGGGTCAGGTTTGGGTTCTCTCTATCATTCTTGATTCGGTACCTTGAACACTTATTGCAGCCTTGTACTAGCCTTATCCTAAACCTGTTCATTCAAGGTGCCTCTGTAAGACAAGCTAAACTCTAAGATGATCTCTGATGTTGAGATAGTCCAGTCAGAATAAGTATGTACAGTAGTACACAGCTCTTGTCCTCACAAGTATCTTCAGTTACAGCACACCTATGCTTCTACAAAGTCCCCGATGCTTGTAGCTTTCGATATATCTAGCACATCTCTGATGAAACTATGCCTTGGTAACAGCTGCTAATTGCTAACATGATTTATTCTTGTCCTGGCAGACCTTACAGACCTGTGTGCTAGCTTTGTGTAAGTTCAGCCTGTCCCTGAGTCATGAACTGAGCTTCTCTCAAGCGTAGACATCCACAGTCTGCTGAAGCTGCTGGCGCAGAAGAACTAGGCCAGATTTGACACACTTCACAACCCATGCTAACCCTGACACATATTATTGCTTCTCAGAGCAGAGAGGAAAAATCCTGGCTACAAATGCATCACAGTTAAAGGCCACTCGGACATGAAATGTTGTATTTGACACAAGTTGTTGTCAAACTGCAGGACAGGAGGTTTTTATCCCCAACAAAGCTCATGTTATGCCTTTCTGTGCGATATAACAATCTCTTGTTGTGACAACTGCCCGAAGCGTTCAAGACCACAATGAGTTTTAAACTCTGGGCAAAAAAGGAATAAGATTTTCATTTGTTGCCCTCTAAGTCTGTAATGCTGTTATGGCAGCTAGGGCCTTTAAGCAAAACTCTTACAAAATGAATAAAGTAAACCACAAATGCTTGTGTGAATTATAAACAGTTGTGGGTTTTTAAATTACTGAGAAAAGTAGAACAGAAGTTTTGTGTTCCAAGAGATGCAAAGACTCCGAACCAGTTTGTCAAGTCGTAATTGGGTCAGAACTTTGCTCTACAGGATTTGCTGATGGGCCAAAGTGTAAAGCAGGAGGTCTTTGGACCCCTGTGGTGTTTTTTAATGTGAGTGAAAAACCACATCAGCAGCATCAAAGCAGCGGTGGATCCCACCCAAGCATTTTTTGCAAGCAGACTAAAGTCTTAAACAGGTACACCAGCTCGACTTCCCCCGATAAGCTGAACTTTAGACCAACCTAAACTCTATCATTCCTGTAATAATAAGATCTGAATTGTCCTCTACAGTGCCAGCTGTTGTCTTGTTTATTTCCAGGCAGACAGAAGAAGAAAGACCAAACCCAAAACATGACCATATGTTTAAACCTTGTCCTATGAATCCAAAACAGGATGTCACAGCGGGCCCTCCGGTCAGACTAACTGACATAGACACAGGCACACAGGAGGGCTATTGTTTTGTTCTGCTTTGGGAAAGACAGAGAGAGGGAAAAGGAAGTGTGGTAAGGGATAGAGAAATTGGATGTGTGTGTGTCTTTGTGTGTGTAGATAACACTGTATGTGTTGCTGTTAGAAACTTAAAGACTTTTGGGCTATCTGAAAAAACAACCAGCTAGCAAAATTTTGTTCAGTGTCTGCATAATAGAGCCCAGGGAATCTACGTCATATGTCAGACGTTTTTATCCTTAAATGTCCTTCTGGGCTTTTTTAAAGGGAAAGTCCTTCCTAAAATAGAAATCACATATTTTTTCCTTTGTAAATTTTAAGTCTGTTCTCAAGCTGAACAGCTGATGAAGTCATCTTCAGACAAACCCTGGAGCTGCTCCATGGACAGTGAATAATGGAACAACTTTTAGCCTGACAGCACACATGTAATTGTATTGGGATGTGGAGACATTTTGTAATTCACATCTGTAAGCCCTGGGAATAAATAAAGCTAATTTGGATATCTGAAAGGAAGGGTTTGATATGTTTGGAAGCTAATTCACTGTCTTTCCAAAAAATTAAAAGATTGATGCCACATTGCATTTTTGCATGGTAAATACTATAGATGGAGTTAGCAATTAGCTTCTGGAACAGAGGGTATCAGGAAACAAGCACCTCTAAGGTAATTTGTACAAAAATGTAAGTGTAACAATGACAATTAGCCATTTTATGAAAAGTAGCATTGTGTAGTTCCCACGACTTGCCTGGCAACAAACAGCCAATTTTGTTTTTTTACATTTTTTGTAAGCTATTTATTAAATAAACAATATAAATAGTGAGCTTTAGAGGGGCTGGTAGGTGGGTTTTGTTACCTTCGGACAGAGCCAGGCTAGCTGTTTCCCACTAGCTGTTTTCAGTTTCTGTGCAATGCTAAGCTAACTGGCTGCTGGCTACAGAACTTTTTATGCTACAGACATGAGAGTCAGCCAGGATTAACTTGAAGACTTGAAACAGGGTGAAACAGCTAGTCTTTCTCCAATCTGCCTTTCAATGTCAGGCTCTAATTAACAAGTTATGGCTTGTTTGTTTAATCTGTACACAAACAGAATATAAATGACATGTTGTGTTTCTACAGGGAGTTACATGCTGTAACGATTCTTGGTGAACAGTGGCTGGGCTGGTAGGCTAGCTGTTTACCTGCTACCAGTATACTTTGTGAAGTGGTGCTAATTTTATAATCCAACTTTCAGCAAGAAAGAGAATAAAACATTTCCCCAAATTGTTTACTTTTCTTGAAGCAAGTCAGTCACCAATTTACTGACAATGGAACATTTCCAACAAATGTCACCTGATATATTCACTTTAAGATTCCAGCTCTGACTTCCAGTTTAGGGAGACTTGTCAGCATAAAATAAAATGCTTGTAGTTTTTCCCACCCTTGAGATTTGAATACATTGTACGATGGCGCAAGTGGAAACAAAAGCTGACTCAGGTCTACATAGCATCAGGCCACACAGCCCTCCTTGTCTACAAACACAACCTGCTGCAACTCACTTCAACATACTATGCAGGGAATGCTAAAAGGATTAGCGCCTAGCCACTTGAGATAATGTGAAAAATGAGACGTGATGTGGTGGAGGGAGGAAACAAAGAGTCAAGGACGAGACACAACACTGACTCAGTCGACCATTACCCTCTTAAGATTAGAGAACGACTCAGTCACAGCCTTTTCTGTATGCTATATTGAATTTAAGGTAATATGAATTAAATATTTAGTAAATATTGACTGGATTTTCTGGAATAGAAAATGTTACAAGAAATTATTTATGCAGATAAAAGGTATCTTTGTCTGCTATGTGCGCTATTTGTATAAGAATCTTATCTCCATCTTATTTCAGGTTTTTGCATTTCATTTAATGTGTTTTATTATAATGTTTGTTTTTGATGTAGCAATTCCCTTAATCAAAACAAATGTCTCCTGTGGAAGACAATAAACTTTAACCTTAAAATCACCCAAAAACACAACAAAGACAACAAATAAATTCACACAAGTAGTAGTTCTTTCTTTGTGTTTATTTGCTGTGTACATCATACACAAATCTCTTTGGAATAAAACTTAAATCTCTAATATATATCAAATAAAAAGAGATTTTATGTTTGATTTTATGGAGCCACTTTGTAAACATGCAACCAAATGATTTTCAACAGGCAGTTATAAAACCTAAAATGTCCAAGTTGAAGGGGTTTCAGGAGTGTGCCATGCAGATGATAAATACAGAAAAAAACATATCGAAAGATGCAGAAGACGTAAGTGTGTTCATTTATCACATGTACAAATATAACATGCCCAGAATGCCTCTAAGTCTAACCTCTGCATACCTCTGCAGACCCCTAGTTCATATTTCAGAGGCGTCCTCTAGGACAAGCAATGGAAATGACCTTTCATGGAGATAAAGTGAGAAACATTGAAGGATGGATGAAGTGAGGTAGGATCCTGGGTTATCAGAAAAAGGAGGGCGGCTTCAGCCTCCCCTGCTTGTTTTGATGGGAAACAGGCTGTCTGAAGCCAGCTGGGAAGGTTAAACGTCTATAAACTGCCAGATGGTAAAAGTGACAACCTAAAACATATTGCAGCAAGGGTTTGACAACTTGAGCTCCTTTATTTTTGGAGGTAAATATATCATTTGAACATGCTTCATTTTTCAACTTCTTTGGTGAGATTTTCCAGTTTTGCTCTTTTTTCCCCTCTCTTCTGTATTCTCCATTTATCATCTCTGCAACTCTATAGCTTACACAGATGTGAGTACTGAACACATGAACGATTAGCTGGGGTAATCAATGAATGTGTCATAAGTGATTATTGGAAAGTGTAAGAATTCTGTGTGAGAATTGAACCTCTTTAGGGTTTGGAAAATGAATGAAAATGCTGAAAATTACTGGCCATGCATGGCTTTTTGTCTTCTATGATGCAGGTGTTCCTTTGAATGCAGCTCAGTGTTCAACGTTATATGAGATGAATCTCTGTACAGAGTAAAAGCAACATCCCTATCTTTCATTTCCTCTCTCTCTGTCCAGTTCAGTGCATTAACAACCCCACAGGGGTGCTTCGCATGTTTGTTCCAACGCCTGCGTTTAAGGAGTAAAAAAAAAGCAACACACAAACTAAACTGGGACAGATCCGAATGAGGTACTCATGGTTCACTTCACACTCACACAACAGTTTTCCAGTTTAGAAAAAACTTAGCTTAGTGGTTTTCCATTTCAATTTAGTCATTAAGGGAGAGTGTCGGTGTCAAGGACACTAAACTGTGTCCACTGTGTCATGACTAACATACAGTAAACATATGTGCCTTGTGAGGGGTCACAGGGGCTGAATTCAGATCAGTCTGAATCCAGTTCAGTCAATAACTAAAAGAAGCTACAAATAGAGAGGACAGCAATGTATACTTTACAGCCACACACACACACACACACACACACACACACACACACATACACATACACACACACACACACACACACACACACACACACACTACACTGATAACAATACAATTTGCTGGGAGAAAAAGTTTCAATACTTCTATAGGATCTATAAATACAATATAGCAATTTGACAGGAGATAACTAGTAGCAATTGTTGTCCTCTCATTTGAAGAAACAGTTTCTTTGGAGTCGTGGAGAGCGAGGGACTAAAGGTAATCATGTGCCATGGAATGCTAACTCTACGTGCCCAATACAAAACCTAAGTTGACTGTCAATGACACTCCTTCAAAAATTAAATGAAAAATCACATTGCTGCTTGTGACTCAAATTACAACCAAGTCCTATTTTTTCGTTCTATGATGCATTGCATCAATGCTGCTACCTCATCACAGCCCATTCTGAATGTTATTTTTTGAAATTCAATTGAATGTCACTCATGATTTAAATCTTTGACTTTTGGTTTATAGTGCAAATTTCTGCACAAAGAGTAAAGTTGCTGCAGAACCAAATTTTACACCAGGCGATTTCACTGATTAGTTCCTTCCTGGTTTACTGTTTTATCAGAAAAGACACAACCTTCAGACTCTACACTCCGTGGCACATGATTCCTTGTCCATGTATTAAACAGTAGACTCTTTGGGTCCCTCTCGAGCAGCGTTCTTACACCCGTAAAGCCACTTGATGACACGTGCGTTTCTCTCAATGATTGACACACCAGTGGGAAGCTGCTCAGCCAGCTCCTCCTGAAATAGCCCGTCTCCTGAGTGCCGGGAGAACTCACTGGGCTCTGAGCCACCACAGCCGTCCCCACTTACACTGCGGAGGGCCAGTGAGAGTGTGTCTATGGAGCTGGCACCAGAGAGGAAATTGTCTCGACCCAGACGCTCTATCATGTCTATGTCCAGCCCACAGAAGTCAAAGAAATGCTCATGCTCTGATAACACTACTGAGCAGCGCAGACGCAGGTCTGACTTGGAGCGTTGCAACTCCCCAAACCGCCTTCTGGGTGCTGGTAGTGGTGACGCCCGTTTCCACGGGTCATTCTCATCATCATGGTTACTTGAGTGGTTGCCATTGGTCATACCATTTTTAATTCCATCACTGGTACCATTTGTAAATCCATTCTTAGTCCGTTCAAGTGTACAGCTAAACCCGGGGCTGGGGATTGACCCTGGGCTGCGTTCTTGATCTGTTTTACTTGACCTCCTGCTCCCTGGTCCACCATCCATAATGTCTTTGTCATTGGTCCAAGACATGCGGGAGTCTCCATCCCGTGATGGCGCTTTCTCTTCACCAATCACCATCTTCTGGATTCCTCCGCTACTCTTATCCCTCATGGAGCCCTGGAAGAGGCGCCGGACAAAACTGTAGCCCTTCACTTCCATGTTATTGTTCTCTCCCACTGCTGCATCACTGGGGCTCTTGCACTCTTTCTTCTGCCTGTAAATGACAAGGGAGTCCGGCCTCAGCATGCGTTTGCCTGTACTTCTTCTGAGTACAGGGGCACTGTGTGGTGCTACCAAAGTCTTATTCCCTGGAGTCCTGGGGTTGGGCGGCATGACATTGTTCACATTGCTCCTGTTATGCGCCTCAATGTCAACAGAAGTCCGTCGGTTCTCCTTTCTGGAGTCATCATTCTCATTTTCATCTCTTGAGGTGAAGGAGCCAGACAGTGTAGAGAAGGGTGTTGGATGAACACCGTGGGGAAAGATGAGGTGTCAGGCTGCCTGGGATGGCAAAAGCTCGCCGAGGCTGTGGTGGTGGTGTAGCACAGGGGACCAGTACAGGCTCCTGTTTGGTGTTGATCACCTGCTGGCTCTTGACATATTTGGCTTTGTCAGCCTCAAGCCTCTCCACAGCGCTGATTGAGCGGCCGTGGCCTCCGCCATCTATCTGCCTGCGCAGGTAGTCTGGACCCTTGTTGAGGAGCCTTAAAGGTGATGGGGATCCAATGGGTGTTAGGGGCTTCATGTTGATTCACTGAGCTGGGAAAGACATCAAAACTGCAAATGACTGACAGCTTCCAGTGTCCCCCAGAGACAGTTGGCCCTGTGAAAATTTCAAACCAAGTGAGAGTGTTTGTAAAAGTATTTAAGTGTAGAAAATGGTGGCAGCTCTCATTCCTGTACACACAGCTCTCGACTCTTCCTTGAGGTGTAATAGATTGGTAGCAATTCAGGAGACCACAGAATCCAAGTCGGTTGGTGTAACGTTTTTATAGATAGCTTACAGTCTGTTTGTTGGGCAATTTTAGAGCCCAGACAAATTGTTATCTCTA